AGTCCCTGCCCTTCCTCCCAGTTTAAATGTCACTTCCCTAACCACTCAGACTAGGTAAGCTTTCTCAACTTCCCAAGTTTACATTTAGAGCTCACTATCCTTTTATTTAGTATTATAATCAAACAATTAATTCACTATTTAATATGCTTCCCCTCCTATGACATAAGCTCAATGAGAACAGCAACAGTCTGCTACTCAGTCTGTCCTTATAGCTTATTTCAAAGCCTGGTACATAGTTGAAATTTTGTTCATCTTTTTTGTACTAATCAATTATAGGAAAGTCTTTTTTGCCATACTTCTCTAGATTTTTCTAGAATAATCCAGATCAACAGGTGATTTTGTATGTCCAAAGAAAACAAATAAGAATTTAGAATTGAGAATCCTCTTTAATGATGAGGTCCCTTAAAAAAAAAAAAAAAGAATCTAGTTTGAATTTACAACTGACAAATGTCTTAACCTTTTAAATCAAAGAATCTGAAAATATCTCATTATACTTCGTTGGTATTTGAATAAAGGTAGGAATAAAATAAAATTTCATTGTGCTACTTGTCAATGTCTGTCATCAAAACACATAGCTAACCCATGTATGTGCCTGGTGTTTTCCAAATGAGTCATTATTCACTTACCGACAGTGATGAATAGTGCCTCATAAGGAAATGTTGCAACCCTTTGTAGTCACCATCATAGCTGCCAAAATGGACATTCTCATGCAACCATCAAAACTATCAAAATTTGTCAAAGCATGACAAATGAACATGCTTTCTGCTCTGGATTTTTTGAGAAAGGTTAAATGTACATTTCTTTGTTTTTTGTTTGTTTGTTTGTTTTTAAAGCTTACATCAGGGGAAATACACATTTCTCAAAGAAAACAAAAACAAAACCACAGAAATCTCAAACCCCCACATTTGACAAGTAACTTCCGGGTAACACATGACACACAGCAGAGTGTGATTTAGAAGGATCAGAAAGATGTTCAAATAGAGTGAGATGGCAAAAGATGTCATTATCTGACCATGTGAAAACCAGGTCAAAGCCAGCTTGTTTCTGCAAGCCGAACACAGCTGCTGGAGCCCCTTACACATGCTTTCAGGCCATTCCTGTTGTGTCAACCTTTAAATCAGGGATTTTGTCCCCTGCATATGCTTCTTTCTTGGTCAAATGCAAGGTGCATATTTTAGCTAGCCACTCCTCTCTTCCCAGATGTTAAAAACTGTGAATAAGTTCTAAGATACATACATTTGAAAGCAAGCAATTTAAAGCAACACATTTGGGCTACTAATCTTCTGCTTTTAACCTCTGATTTGTAAAGGAACTGTGAACATCAGAGTGGCCTACGACACTGTGCCTAAGAGACACCCGATTTTAGTTCTCACTACTCTGTTAGTGCCTTAAGAGCAAAAAGGGTCTGGTGGCTGCTCCATAAAATAAAACTCGGACTCACATTTGATGCCTCTTTCATGGAACTAACCATGGCCCTAAAATAAGCTCAGCCACGTATTCGCTGGAGTGGACAGTCCGCCTTCAGAAAGAAAGGGGAAACACAACCTTTGAGTTCTCAAGAATCTATATCAATTCTCCAGATAACTCTTTACTGAAGCTTTAGAATTTAGGGTTTCCAAAATTTGACTGAAAAAACTAAGTGTCCTTTTCGTGCTCCCATATTGATGTCATTCATTTCTAATATTAGCTGCAGAGCAGTTCGGGTTCACCTGAGAAAGAGGTGCTTTTATTTCGAGTTGAACAGGAGCAGATACTAAAAATGAACATGGTGAGACTTCCTTCTGGTATATCTGACACAGATAAAATAGGTAAACCTGTGCAGAGAAACTATTTTGAATCAAATGGGGGAAAAAATTCAATCTAATTGGAAATTTGATGTGCTCACAGAATTTTTATGTAGTCCCACTCAGGTGAACACTGAGGAATTAAGAAATAACATGAAATTATATAAAGTTGTTTTGTTGCACGGTGACACATAAGATCATGATGTGTTCATGAAAATTCCATATTAGTGAGATGAAGTTTCCAGTGTGTGTTGTAGCCTAGCATGATTGGCAAACTTGATCACTATTTGATGTTATAGTCACAAATAAGCTACTGAATGATACTTTTTAAACTCACTAGATCAAATGTGTGAAATATTTGGACTCCTATTACACAACAGAAATTAAGTGGATCACAGTCCCTGGACAATTGCTGCATCTCCGCTTAATATTGTGCGGACATGAATAGAAGTGGAGGAGGCAGATGTGCCCATTCAGAATAATATAAATAGTGTTGGGATTTCGTGGCCTGGATTGGAGGTGGCTAGTTCCTCCCACCTTCTCTGTCTGCAAAGTGAGTGGCACCATTGTGTGTTAAAAGTGCTTTAAGTGGTGCAAGTCTCACAAAGAGACTTATATCTGGACAAAGTAAGGACAATACACTTATAGACCCAGGTATCTCTCATGCACAGAAAATGCCTCTCTCTTTAAAAATGACTGCCTGAATTTGGTGACCATTTTCTCTAGTAGAGGGTGAAGATATTTAGAGAAAGAATTAAAGGAAATACAGAGTTAAGGAAAACAAAAACACCAAAGTTCAAAGTGGAGACATACCACCACTCTATCAATATTTGTCTGTAATTGAACTTTTCTTATATTTTAAAATCTTCTAAGGCTTTCATTCCAGAAAAGCTGTCCTGGGTGTTTAAACAGCCATGGCAAGAACATGGGCCATATTTAGTACTTGCTACTCTGCAGTTTGTTTTTGCTGACAATTCTCAAGTTCAGTCTTCCAAACCAACAACAGTGATCCTAATCTCCTTAAGTCACTGTCATAAGGAAGGTAGAGCAGGTCTCCCCAGTGGTTATGTGCCCAGTGACATACCTTGCCCTCTTTGTGTTTGTTAGAAAAACCTCTGGACTATAAAGCCTTAGCCTCAGAACAGTCTTGCGCTGCATCGTGTTCTGCTCTGAGCCACTCCTCCCTGTTGTTTTCAAAAATCACTAAAAGATACTAAAATTACAGAAAACCCCTATCTAGCTCTTTTTCCCCATGACACCCACAGAGTTGTGTAAACACAAGCCTGAGGTAGCCCCCACACTATGTGCACCCAAAGATCTCCACGGTAGGACATGCCCCATTGTGCCCTGATTACATGTTTGCTTCTTTGTGTCCCTCGCTGGACTCTAGGCTCCTTAAGGGTCTAAACCACGGCTTATTCCTCCCTGTATTGCCATGACCTTGTGCATCGCCTGGAATATGGTTACCACTCAGTAAATATTTACTGATTCATCAATGTTGAATGTCTCTCCCAGGAAGACTAAGTTACTCAGTTTATTTATTTATTTATGTTGCTTTTTTTGTTTTGATTTGATTTTAGTCTTTTTTAATTCTCCTCACGACATAGCTTTTAGATTACAAAGAAAGGTCTTCTGGTTGCACACCTTATGGATGTCCAAGAAACTACTAAAAGATATTTTCTTATCAAAATTATTTTCACAGGAGAGATCCAATTATTTTTCCCCTACTGAGTAATTCAAAACATTTTTCACATGCATCCTTATGCAACAGTTTTCTTCTAGTCAGATGTACCCATATGGAAAAATGTAATGCCACATCTGTGAGAGGGTGAGCAGAGGGGTGAGCAAGGTCAGAAGGCACCAGAAATCTCTATGCCTTGCATTTGTGCGCTGTGCAGCACTTGAGCATACAATCCAACATTCAGGCCCCACGGCAGTGAAGCTAGCGAATGGCACAGGCATCAGCATCCCATCTTACCAATCAAGAAATTGAACTCCAGAAAAAAGGAGCAATTTTCCCAAGGTCACCCAGCTGGCTGTGACAATTTGTCAAAAGCCCAGCTCTTTCAACTCTTTGCATTGTGATGCTCTTTCGATGATGCCGTGAAATTAAATGTGTTGCTTAGGTGGCATTTTATAGACAACAATGATAAACGGAAAAAAGAAAATATGATGCAAAAAGGAAAGCAGTAATTGCTAACTCTAAAGAAGCCCAAAGTGATGATGCACTGAGGGAGAACCTGGGGAAGTTGAGTTGTGCAAAGTTTTATTTGTATTATTTTATTTGGGGTGGAAACGAGGGAGGGAAGTTGTATTCTTATGGAGCGTCTCATCAGAAAATAAGGGACACACTTTTCTGAGGTGTTGCAATTATTTCAATATTATTTCAGCTTCTCCTCCTCACTTTGGATCTCTACACTAATGCTGTAAGGAATCCCCTCTCTGAGAGTTTGGTTTCTTCTCTGGCAGCTGTTAGTCAGGAGACAGAAAAATGGGTCAAGTCTATATCTCCACATAGGCTTATAGGCAAGTGAATACTAGAGCTCTTAGCTCTATCCCTATTTAGAAAGCAAAAAATATATTTCTTTTCCTTGATAAACTTTTGGGAATGAAAACAGAAAAAAAAAAAAGAGAAACATTTTAAAATGACTATCTGAACTTCCTGTCATAGCTTTGTATAAAAAACTATATTTAACATAGTAAATATAACCTGAAAGATCATTTTGTGTTTGTTCTTTTAGTAATCCCCATCCGTTAGAAGTCATAGTCTGTTTTAGCAATCAGTTTGTTAGTCAATAGGTCAAAAGTATCTATTAAGGGTCTACCGTGGGTCAGGCTCAGTTGATGAACGATGAATGAACAGTTAGTGAAGAAGGTAAAGTTACTTGCAGTCAAGGAACTCACATTCTAGAAGGAAGGAGGAAGCCAATAAATATGTTAGCAAACTAATAAAGAAGACAATTTGGGATTGAAAACTGTGTTTTACGGGGGACCTTGCGTACTCATGCTGAGCCTGAGCAGATTGGAGCTTCCTGGTGCGTGAATGGCCACGAGAGGGAGGCTGTTCCCGAGACCTCAAGCCTGCGACTGTGGCTCTGCCTCTACCACAACCCTTGTCAGAAATCATGGGAGATGTGAGATATCACATTCATAGTTACATGTGTACAGTTTTACCAGAGGAAGTGATGACCATATCTTGGTTTCTTTTTGTTCTAGGAATCTTGGAAAATCAGGACTCAGAGTTTCTTGCTTGGGTCTTGGTAAGTACTCAGGTGTTGGCTGGCGGCGGCACTGGAAGGTGAGAGGCTGGGGGGACCCCAGGGGGTGATGGTGGTACAAGTCGGGATCCAGGCTCAGGTGAGGAGGAGACTCCCTGGCCAGCATCGCCCCACTTCTCCTTCTGAGCCTTTCCCTGCCCGGCTCAGCCCTATCCCTCTCTAGTTCCAAGGAACCACTGTGCTCATGATGCCTTGCAGGGGCCCATCGGGCAGAAAGCAGCCTGATACTAATGCACACGCCAGAGGCAGGGACTCCTGTGCCACTCCCTATTAGCAAATGCGAAGGACTGCGTGGCATGCCCTTGAATGCTCAGCTCACCCCCTCCTTCCACCCCCTCGCCTGCATTGTTTTCTATCTATCCTTATTTTCCCTTTGCCCCATGAATTTTTCTATATAGCTATGCATTTTATGTATTTTATAATCTGACTTAAATACTTGGCAGGCAAAGTGAGATACACATATGGATATACATATATATAATTAATAAATAAAAATCATTATGCCTTCCATAAAATGTAAATTTTTAAAGAAAACTAAGTAGAGTTGGCAATTCTAACAGCAGAGAGACGAACCGGAAATCGTGAGATCTGAGTGTGTGACGTGGGGAGGCACGAGACGTCCAGACACCCCTCAGACACAGGAAAAGGCAGCCTCGGCATTCAGACCATTCAACACCATCAGAACTATTCCTGTGAGCTAAGAGAGTCTAGACCAGCATGGTGACTGAGGAAGCAGTGAGAAATGGCCAGATTATGAGTATGTTTTGAAGGGAGAAGCTGAAAGATTTTCTACTGGATTCCACGTGGCATATGAGAGAAAAGAGAAAGGTCAAAGACGACTCTAGGGGGTTTTGCCTGAGCCACGGAAGGAATGGAGTGACTAGTAAATGAGATGAGGAAGAATGAGAGAGAAGAGACTTAGGGTGGGGGAAGATTGGGGGATTGAATTGGACATATTAAGTTTGAGATACATATTAGGCATTCAAGAAAAGTTGTCAAAGAGGCAAATGGATATATGAGTCTCAAGTTGAAGAGAGAGCTGGGCTGGACATATAAACTTGGGATCATCAACATGCAGGTGTTGTTCAAGCCGTGATCCCAGATGAGACCACTAGGGCAGGGGTGTAGACAGTACAGAAACAGAGGCACATGCTCTGTGACCTAGGAGAGCCAACATTAAGAAACTGGGGAACCGAGGATGAGCCAACAAAGAAAATGAAAATAAGTAGCTAGTGCCATAGGAAGAGATCAGGAGAGAAGGGAGTCCTGGGATCCAGGCACAGCAAACATTTCTGGGAGGATGGAGTGACAGATCCTGTCAAATGCTGCTCGTGCATCAGGCAGGATGAGGGCCAAGCACCCACCACTGGGTTCAGCAACATGGAGTTCACTGATGACTTTGAAAGGATCAGTTTTTGCGGATTGGTTGGGGCCACGGCATAATTGGAACAGGCTCAAGGGAGAAGGGAAAGAGACAAGCTGGAGGCTACTCTTTGATGAGAAGTGCTGTAAAGAAAAGCAGAGAAATAGAGTGGCACTGACAGCAAAGTGAGGTCAGAGAAGTTTTTGCATGTGGAAGAAATGATAGCATATTTATATGCTGATGAGAAAATCCTTTTGAGAAGAAAAAATGATGCAGGAGAAGGAGAGAGAAGAATTTCTGGATTGACATCTTGGGGGCTCAGAAGCACACAAGACTACATGAGAGAAGACAGAGCACATGGACTTTGAGGCTAGTAGGGGGATTAGTGGAGTGGCAGTGGTGGAGGTATCCTGTCAAAGTTCTATTGCTTTTGTAGTCTCAGTAGAAATTGGAAGCAAGATCATCTACTGTTAGCGAGGATGGGAAGGAAGTGGAAGTTTGAGGAAAGAGAGCGTGAGCAGGAGAGCAGAAGGGTGAGTCAATCTGGGGTAGGCATCATGCTGGCCAGGCAGCATTAAGGACCTGCGTAAGACTCATAAATTTGAAGTGGTGCTCATAAATTTGAAGTGAGACCATCTCCATGGTCAAGTGTTTTTCTTCCAGGCATGTTCAGCTGTGTAGGTGTAGGTGGGGTTTTTTATAAGATGAGAAGGAGACGTCGAAAAAAGCTGAGTGTTTATGTAAGGCAGTTATTGTAGTGGAGGACCTTGACATTTAAACCAAGTTAGAGAGGAAAAGGAGGACCAAAGCCAGGAGAATGAGCCAAGTGCTGAAATGAGAAAGCTGAGGGACAGTGAAAAGCAGGTAGGATCAATGGATTGTACGTCCTAGAGGGACCAAGGAATTGTTGAAGTAAGAACCTTAGAAACAGTGGTTAGAAGGATAGAAAGTGGTGGTTGGAAAGGGAATGTTTGAAATAGAGGTTATGGAGGGGTTCTGTTATTGGTAGTGACAAAGTCTGGGGCGTGTCCAGTGGGAGAGAGTGGCTGGGGTTGTACTAGAGATAAGATCGGTTGGGGAGAGGAGGTTGAGAAACTGAGAGATGAAGGTACAGGGAAGGATCATCTTTAGAGTCACTGAAATCACTAAAAATTATGGCAAAACTAATATGGAGAGGATGACAATGAAACAGGAGCTAACATTTTCATGGAATGAGAGGGAGTGACTAGGGGTGTGTAAGTGACTACAATGGGGGGCTGACGGTGTGAGAGTCAAAGCTGGTGTGTTGGAGGGCAGCTTCAAAGATACTGAATGCTATCAGTGTCTGAGTTTTTCTGGTTCTTCCTAATGATCTGACTTGGGAGGTAAAGGTGGTCATTGTTCCCCATATGTCTAAGGTAATTTGACATTTGTTTGTTTTAGTGGCTCTGATCTTGTTACTATTTAGTGGCTCTGATCTTGTTACTATTTACTTGTATGTGAAAGACCCTGGAGATTCATTATCAGAGATAGTCTGACCTTAATCTTTTTGAGAGTGTGCTTTATGGCAAATAATAATTTAGTATTCATTATTGAAAGAAACAACTTATTAATATAAATTAAGAGATATACATAGTGAAATGTCATTTATCAACCAGTTATCTATAGGTATCTCCGGTGGAAAATAGTTTAGTCAATAAGTACATAGAATACTCAGCCAAAATCCCTTAACAAATTCAAGTGCTCGTGAAACGCCACTTACAAATGAATCTCCAGAAGGAAGACTCCAGACAACCGCAAGCAGTGTGTATAAGCTGCAGGCATTTTGGTGAACTTTGAGACAGGTTTGATTTAGGAGCAGTAAGTCCTGATTTGAGCTTCAAGTTTTTCTAAGAGCCTGAACACTTGTGATAAGACACTGCATGAAAAAGAGGAGGGAAACAAGGAAGTTCATGGGGTTGACTGGCTTCCTTCAAAACAGGTAACAAAGCTTGACAGCTTGAATAAGCACTCTTTGAGAACTTTTATGAGCTGCCTCTGTAAGCCAGAGGAGGAGACAAGAAATTCATAGAAAGGATTTAGAAGGAACCATCCTTAGAAAATTTGTCAGGCTCTCTAGGCCCCAGCTGTCAAATGCAGGTGGAGCTGGATTTACTGCTGTAGGCTTGGGGTGTCGGCTCAGTCATGGCCCATGCTCAACTGAGGCTTTGGAGATTAAGTATTAAAGCTTCCAGGCAATCAAAAGACTACAGATGCCTTTTATTGAAATACTCTAAAGGTCATACTTAAAGCTAACAATTCTGACTTCCTCGCTACCAGAGAGGAAGCAACTGGGAATTCCTTTTGGTAAACAAAGAGCATGTGTAAATGAGAATAGAAAGGAAAAATAACTTGACGGTGAACTGACGATACATCTGAAGGAACACAGCTCTGCCAAGGAAAGAAATGGGAAATCAGTGCCCAGTCCCACCTGAGGGTTGCTGTAGCTGGTCTGTTCTGTAAATATGCTGTCCATGACTGTCAAGACCTGAAGTCAAATAAACTAAAGGGAAAAGAGTTAACTCACAAGGGAGGGACCCAAACTTCTCCCAGCCTATTAGGAGCTGAGACTATCTTCTGAGAGAGAAAGAGTAGAATCTACATATTCATTCATTGCCTCATTCATTTGTTCATTCTTTTAATTAATTAAATAATTTGTTTTGAGGAAGGTTCTCACTCTGTCACCCAGATTAAAGTGCAATAGTGTGATCATAGCTCACTGCAACCTCAAACTCCTGGGGCTCAAGCAATCCTCTTGCCTCAGCCTCCCAAGTAGCTGGAACTACAGGCATGTATTGCCGCCATACCCAGCTAATTTTTTTATTTTTATTTTCTGTAGAGACGGGATTTTGCTATGTTGCCCAGGCTGGTCTTGAGCTCCTGGCCTCAACTGATACTTCCACCTCAGCCTCCCAAAGTGCTAGGATTACAGACTTTAGCCACCACACCCAGCCCATTAGTTCATTCTTAGGCAAATATTTATGGAGTCAGGCAGTGGTTACAGGGGATACTAAGCAGAAAACAGCATGGACCCTGCTCTCAAATTGCTGAAAGTGCAATGGGAGTTAAGCACACAAAAACAAACTTATAATATATTTGACAGATGCCGTAGTGCCGTGTACAGGATGAACAAAGCATGAGAAAAGTCTCCTGGGAGATATGGGATAGCTTCACAGGGGTTGAGGGCATGCCACTTGACCTGAGACTTGAAGGGAGAAGACAAGTGGGGAGGGAGGGCAAAGGGTTCAAGACAGAGGGAGAAACACAAGCAGGGGCCTGGAGGGAGACCCCATGGCAGGGAGGTACTTGGGGAAACCAGTCACATGCATGGAATGTTATGAGTACAAGGTGTTGGGGAATAGCCAGAAATGAGTCTGGAAGGGAGGCTAGGCCTGATTATAAGAACCCTTGTCTGCCTTGCTAAGGCATTTAGCTCAGATTCTCTCAGTCTCCAGTGTTCCTTCAAATCCTAAGGTTCCCCAGGTCTCAGGAAGTGCTTGAGGGACAAGGAACTCTCTCCACCCTCCTCCTTCCATCTGCCACAGCTTCCATTAAAGCAGATCTACTCTTTCCTCATATTATATATTTTTTAAATAGACTT